TTTTGGGTAAAGTTTTCAGAAGTGCCTAAGTGCTCTCAACCTTTGCAGATTACCATACCCCTTTCAGGAGTCTGATTTGTCTTCTGTACCCTCCATTTTACCTCACTTAAAAGCTATTTGCTTACAAACTCAGTCATAAACATACAAAAGTGCCACAGCATGCTAGTACTGAAAAATTACTGATTTTCCCACATTGGCCATGTAATTATTAAAATAAATCAATTAGAATATAAATATTGTACTTACATTTCAGTTTATAGAACAATATAAATAAACACGTCAGGGTGTGAAATGTTTGCATGCACTGATTTCATTAGTGCTTTTTATGTAGTCTGTTGGCTTTTTATGTAGCCTGTTTGTAGTCAACATTTAGATGAGTTGATGTACACCTGGAAGACTTGTGCATGCCCCTGGTTGAGAGCCTCTGACCTAGACCACCTTTTCTTCAAATCCTCCAGTGATAGGCATTCCACAGCTTGAACTTAATGACAGTTACAGTGAGAAAGTTTCTCCTAATACTGTATCTCGCTGATCTCTCTTTTGCTGCAGATTAAGCCCATTGCTTCTTGTCCCATCTTCAGTTAACATGGAGAACAATTGTTCACCATCCTCTTTACAACAATCCTTGACATACTGAAGACTTACCAGGCCTTCGAACCCAAGCCCAGTTTTCTTTTTTCAAGACTAAACATGCCCATTTGAGGATTTTTCTAAACTTTTCCTCCTAGGTCAGGTTTTCTAAACCTTTCATTATTTTTGGTGCTCACCTCTGGACTCCCTCCAATTTATCCACATCTTTTCTTAAATGTGGCACCAGAACAGGCCACAATAGTCCAGCCTCACCAATGCTTACTAGAGCAAGACAGTTACTTCCCATGCTTTATATAAAACACTTCTGTTAATACACCTACTATGTCTGACTAGGGAGGTGAGCTAGTAGTCCGCTGGAGTATCGACTACTTGCTCCCCCCCTTGCTGCTTCTATGAGAGGCAGCAAGTGTGGGGGATGAGAAACAGGAGCCAGTGCTAGGGGGAGCCGGCTTAAAAGCCGGTTCTCCCCAACACTGTCTCCATGGTGCCAACTGTGCCCTCCCCACAATGCCTCTATCACAGGCAGCAGGGAGGCAAGAGGAGAGGCTGCTCTAGCATCAGCCCCTGTTCATGACAGCCCTGGGCTGGCTGCTGCAAACGGGCTGCTGGACTCAGTGTGAGCCAGGACCAAGCTGTCCTGGCTCGTGCTGGTCCGGGATGCTGCACCCGGTGGCTCGTACTACATTTAAAATGCAGAGCTCCTGGAGCTACCCCTGCTGCAGCTCTGTAGAGCAGTCTTTTTCGACTAGACGTCTAGTTGATATAAATTGTATTGACTACACCATTAGCTAGATAACCACAATTTAACATCCTGACTTCTGACTGCAACTGTTCCTCATTGTTGACTCATTCCATTGGTGGACCGCTATAGCCCTCAGATTCTTTTCAGCAGTGCTGACGCCTCGTCAGCCATTCCCCATTTTGTAGGCAGGCATTTGATTTTTTTCTTCCTAAGTGAAAGTACTTTGCACTTGCCTTTGTTGAAGTTCATCTTGCTCAATTCAGACCAGTCCTCTGATTTGCCCAGGTTGTGTTGAATTCACATTCTATCCTCCAGAGTGCTTGCAGCCCATCTCAGCTTGGTTTCACCAGCAGAGGGTAGTCATGAGTCCAGGTCATTAGTGAAAATGCACCCTCCCAGGTTGGCAGCAAGCCATAACTACCCCGCATATGATACTTCAACTTGTTACAAACCCACCTGATAGTATTTTCATTTAGCCCACATTTTCCTAGTCTGCTTATGAGAACATCACCTGGGACAGTGTCCAAAGCCCTGTAAAACTGAGATATAGTGTGTCTTCTATTTCACCCAGAAGGCAGTTAGGTTGACTGGGCAGTTTGCTCTTGACAAATCCACAATGGCTATCCCGTATAACCCTATTAATCTCTAGATGCTCACAAACTGATTGTTTAGTAATTTGTTCCTGTATCTTTCCAGGTACCAAAGTTAGGGAGGCCAGTCTATAATTCCCCAGGGCCTCTTTGTTCCCCTTTTTAAAGCTAGGCACTGTCTCCTGCTCCGCTCCTCCCTGGACTCTTTTAATGCTGTTTTTTTCCCTCTCCTCCAGGTTCTCTATATCAGGAAGAGGAAGAGGTAAGTACAGTCTGCTTTCAGGGAGTCTCGGTGCTTCAAAGCTAAGGCAAAGCCAGGAAATCTCTTGCAGACAGGGGAATATATTCAGTTGGGAATACAGAGTTCCCTCTCCTTCTCCCCCCATTGCATGTTCCTTTCAAAGCCCATTCCCAAGTAGTCCCGGTGACATTTGGGAAGCTAAAAGTCCTGTGAATGTGGCAGAGGTTTCCTACACAACACCTAAGCCATCTCACACATGGGGGCTTCAAGAGAGGGGAAGGATCTGGGTTTGTACAAAGCTGTTAACCATTTCACAGGCATGTTCGGGGAGGTGTGGAGCCTGACATTTCAGCTAGTCCAGGCAGGGCTCCTCTGCTCCAGCAGCCATATGCAATTAGGTTTGCTTGGCAAAAATACCTGAACCAGACCCCAGTTCTCCAAAGTTTGGGAAGGGCTGCAGGCCCCTGCATGTTTATGGCGGCGCTACTGGACTCCACCATTTCCATGGCAATTTCCCTTGGTTTGGTTTGCAAAATGCTCAGTTTCTTAGCTTGAAATGTAGGGGTCTGCCCCTCCCTCCCCAGTTCAGCTTGGCTACTGGAAATCAGGAGGAGGAAGGCAGAGAGGGAAAATTGCTCTTTGATCGCCTGCTCTTTCTAAACGGGCACAGATATAGGTGGATCTCTGTGCCACGGATGATGCCTCACTTACTGACTGCTGTGGGCAATGCCGGGCTATGCAGCCTGCAGGGTACATTCCTATGAGTCAGAAAACTTACAAGCTGGTGCCCAAAGTAGAGATTTGAATGAAAAAGAAGCAGCTAGTGACAGCGCTGACACGTGTGGCCTGTAGACATACTGATAGGTTAGTGGGCAGAACCCAGGCAGAGGCAGGCAAGGGTCATGCAGAGAGAACTTGCCAGCTGAGCCTCAGACAGAAGGAATCTTTGTGGTGACCCTGCCCAGAACAGCTCAGGAATTCCTTCCTCCCCACCAAACAACACCCTCCCCAGGCGCCTGGGCTCTGACTGGGACACACAAGTATTCCTGTGTAGTGGAGTCGCTCCCATCGCTGCTTTGTCTAGGGTTGGCCTCTGCCACTTGAACTGAAGATGTAATTTTGGCAGCAGTAGTAGGTTTTTATCCCAAAAGCCTGGGTTTGGTTCTGAGTTCTGTCTCTGCCAATAACCTGGGATGGGAGGGAAGGTGGGATTGGTACCTACAATCTAAAAGGTGATGTACAATGCACGGGGGTGTGTGTGTGTGTGGAGCAGCCTGTTAAATACTCCCCCTGCCAGATAAAGCTCAGGATGAGCTTCTGAAGTCAGTTTAAATCCCCAGATGGGCCGCTTGGGTAACTGAGCCCTGCACATTAGGTACAGGCCTTTTCCACTCTGTTAGACAAAGCAGCCTAGTTAGCTGGTAGCAGCAGTAGGATCTAATCCTTGCCCGGGTGGGGACATGAGACTTTGTGAGTTACAGCCAAACCCTCTCTCGGCAACAGCCAGAGGCACCCCAGAATACAAAACACACCCGTACACACAGGCCTTCCGCTCCAATTGAGACATGCTTCAGCAGCTGCCCGGCAACAGAGTGGGGAGGGAAGACTCCCTGTGTTGCTGTCCCTCTCTCCTCAGCCACAGGTTCTGAGCCTGCCCTTTGCTCTTCTTTCCACTGGCAGGCTGGAGAAGCTGCGGCACCAGCTCATGCCCATGTACAACTTCGACCCCGCGGAAGAACAGGACGAGTTGGAACAGGAGCTGCTGGAGCATGGGAGAGATGCAGCATCTTCTCAGGCCACCCAGAGCAAGGTAGTCACTGCTTCCCATGGTCACACAGCCCTTCTGTCTGCCCAGCCCACACGGTGATGTGAAGGCCTCTCCCTCCGGAGCCTGGCAAATGTACTGGAGTTCGTATTGCTTCTTGTTGGGCTGCTTGCGGAGTGAGCTCCAGGGACTTCCCTAGCCACAGAGCAGTGTGGAGGGTAGTGGGGAAGAGGGGCGTGGAGATGGCGTGAGGGGAAAATACCAAATTTGGTCAGCACTTCATGGGAGCCTGGTCTCTAACATTGTGGGTTCTCCCCTGGGCTGCCAACCTCACTCAGTCAGCATCTTCTCTGGACCCCCTCTCGGCGGGGTTCTGTGGGTTGTCCATCCAGCCAAACCAGAGAGAGTCCAAACCCCCTCTGGGGTAGCACAATCAACATAAAAGTCCAAACAAATCCTCAAACTAACAGCCCTTCAGTTCCCTGGCTTCCATGTGTTTGGGGGGATTGCAGGCGGCAGAGGGCTACGTGTTTAAAATGTTAATTGTTTTGAACAGCAGAGGGACGGCGTATAAAAGTAAGGGATTCTGACTAAATGTTACAAGAAGAAATACAGGATGGAGGGAGAGATGCATAATGAAGAGCTCATTCAGGTAATAAAAGGGAGGAAAAACAGTGGCCATGCCACACGGCAATCCCAGCAGTAGGGAATGCATCACCTGCACAGAATAGACAGTACCAGGACCCCTCAGAGCCCAGTGGGGCCTGCTACCTAAAGCTGCCTCGGATGAAAAACAGCAGCATTTGCAATAGTAAGTGAGAACATCCAGATGGCACCCACCATTCAGCATATGGCAGGTTTCATAGGTTCGGAGAGCTGCAACAGTGTGGAAGTGACTGCCTTGTCCATACACGTATTGATAAAGAGAGGAGTCATTCAAAGGGTGCATGGAGAGAAAGTGTTGCGTGTTGCTATACTACGTCGAATGATCCGGATTGTCCGTTGGTGTAAATTGGCTTGTCTCCACTGACTTCAGTAGCTGGCCCAATATATATTTGGCTCACAGATTTATTAACCCCCGAGTTTTATAATCAGCCCTAGTGATGAATGTAGGTTAGATGCTGTGGAGTGTATGGACAGACTTCTGGTTTTTGCCTGTATCCCTGCCAATCCCTGCTTTGTCTTATCCCTCACTGCTTCATTGCAGATCCTCCTGACGAGCCAGGGAACCCTCCAGAGGCCCAGCCGACTTGTGTTCACAGATGTGGCTAACGCTATCAATGCATGAATGACACCTGGCGCTGCTTTGGATGACACGGAGATCGGGACGGACAGAGCCAGCCAGTTACATACCATGAGCCTGGATGACGAGTCTGCCGGCCTCCCCATCAGTTTGTGCTGCACCTGGTGTTGGGCATTAACACACTTCAGGAAGCAAATGCTTGGTCATGGCTGCAGCCACTTTTGGGGCCTCCATCTCTCTCCACCAACGGGCCCTGAGCTGCCATGCTCAGAGCTCAGGAGCGATCCTGGTTAGTGCCGTTTTACCAAGCTGTGCCGGGATGAAGATGCAGCTTCAGGACAGTTTGTATCAGTCAGACCGCAAGCCCCTACTGAGTCATTGGATGGTGGTGGGGTGAGAGCACTTGTGAAGGGCCTTTCCCGTGGTAACAGCTCATGATTGGAGTCCTGCAGTGTAATCTGATGGTTTTCACGGAGCTTTGGTAGGTCCCTGGGTGTGAGTTGAGCCCCCTTGATCTGGGAGGCCGCTGTGCCTGCTCCGCAGCAGTGCCCCAGAGCACATGATGCTTATCCATCTTGCTTCTTGTGCTGGCCAGGTTATTCATAACACGCTCGTGGGCGAACACTCAGAGGTTGCTTGTGGGCTTCCCCTGGGTTTCTGCAGCACGGGTGTTTCGCTCGTTTTAAAAGGTGAACCAAAGAGCTTTGGGTAAACAAACATTTGAATTAAATCTAGAGAGAGGAAATGGTGGGATGTCCCAAATCAGAGGGACAAGCCACTCAGCTCCTAGACCCGGGCTCACTCGTCTCCTTCTGTGGGACTCCCGCTGGCTTAGCTAGCAGAGGCAGCGATTGGTGAGCAGACACCACAGCGGTGGAGTTGGTCTGACAACAGCTGGGCGCTGATGTAGTCCCATCCACTCCTGTGCGTTGGCTGATGGAAGCTGGTCCTTGCAGAGCAAAGTTTTATGAGGAACGAGGAGTAACAGCCTGAGGAAAGGGGGTGCGTGTGCATGGGTGTGAGAGAGAAAATTACAAATAAATACATTTCAGTAGAAAAGTCTGATCCTTACCTATTTACCTGC